TTCACTAGATCGATCTAGGTAGAATGCTTGTATGGCCCCGTCGTCGTTTTCGATGCAGTGGCATGAGAAGAAGAACAGTAATTATTTAAAACGCCAAAACTGTACAGTTTTCCAGGTTCAGTACTGTATGTGTCAATCATATCGGAAGAAATTCGACGCTTTTTGAAAACTACATGTGTAATATATTTTTCATCCAGGATAATACCGTAAGAAATGTACTGTGTCAGTGAATGAATGCTTGACGCCCTGGCATGGAGAGCACAAACGTAGTCTTTCGAATCGCATGTAATAATTACGATCGCATTTACAGCAATAAGACTAAAAGATCACTGAAAACCGAAGAAGAACCGCACGCAGAAGATCCGTTAAGATCCATAACGCTGACCATTCAGTGTATATGTTACCACGTTCTACATACTTGTCATAATTTTAACCAGTGCAAAGTCACGGTGATCGATGGACATCGCGAAGAAACGAAACCGTTAATTTAGGAATCATCTCACTACAGTCGATCGAAGCAGAAATTGTAACGGTTGGGCTAGCTCTGGTGGCATTTCTACGCCGTAAAGTAATTGCTAAATTGAAAGGATAAAAGGTTACTGACCTAATACAGTTGTGTATTTAGTTTTTTATACTACCTGTTATCTGCACATGCGCATTCGGTCGAAACCTCAGACCGTCTTTTGCGCTGCCAGCCATGGAATTAGAAAACTTGTCCGTTTTGAAAGCACTTTTTCATGGTTTGGACACGGGAATGGGACATCAAGGTGAAACTAGCTCGCTATAATTTTAACATACCCTCATGGGAGGCAGACGGATAGACGCAAGATCGTACGGAAAATGTTATTTTCTCGTTTTGGAATCAAGACTTGTGAAAATCTCGTTAAGTTGCACATCTGACAACAAATAGGTAATGGATGGTGGGCTATGAAAATAAGTTCATGACGTATAAAAGTTCATATTGACATGAATCCTTGTTTTTTACATTTCAGTCATTTTAAAACAGTTTATCGTTTGTTTAGTTTAAAGCAGTTTATCGTACGATCCATTTGCGTATTCTACTTCAGGAAGAGTTCCGATATTGTATCTTCTTATTTGTGATTGTAGGCGGCCCTCCGTCTGTATGTTCAAAAGAGGGCGTATTAGACCCTAAAAACAAGTTGTTTGCTACATATTATTGTTGTTTAAAAAACAGTTTTAACGGCTCTCTCACAAGAAAGAAGGACAGACACGGAGAAAACAATTAACAAAAAAACTAATACATTAGAAATCAGGTCCTTTGTCCATGAAACCTGGTTTTCTCTGTTGGTAGAGCGTCAGACTCAAAGTGGACAGATCCTAGATTCAAGCCAAAGTTTGGTTACTCGTCTTTAATCATGGTGAACTGAATGAATG